CTACCTCTAGAATATATGGTTTGAGTAAGGGACAAATGTTAAAGAAAGTAAAAGCTAATTCAGCTTATTACAAGGGGGTTTCCTCTTACTTTCTAACAAATTCGTCGATGCCATCTAAAGAAATGCTTGCATCTCAAGGGGAAGAGGTTATAGCTGGTTTGTTTGGCTCTCAAACTTGCGAAGGACTAGATCTACTGAGATTTCGGAAATTTGTCACCAAAACATCCCGTGTTGAAAAACAGGTACAAGTATGCAGTCTCCCACCGACATATGCAGCTGCAATATATCTTGCAATATATTGCAATATAGCTGCAATTTACCAAGTATACCATCAAGTGCAACAATGGATAGTAATAACCTGGAGCCAAAAGACTGGGGATGGAAGTTGGAAAACGGGATTCTGGTCCCCCTGCACCTGAGGAATTACTGAAAATAATTCGCTGTAACTGCAAATCAAATTGTGAATCCAAACGTTGCAACTGTTAACGACATGGTATTGTTTGTTCCATGAGTTGTGGGGAATGCCGTGGTACGAGTTGCTCTAATTCTATTGATGGAGACATTAATTTTGATGATGAATGAGGATCGCTTTATGAACTTTTATCGACTTTAAATCGACTCAAACTATCAACAAATTCAAAAAACCTTATATTTTAAACATTTATTAATTAATTTTTAAAATACTTTCATGTCTATATGTATTTTGATAGTAAAGTCTAAGATAAAAGTTTGTAACAATGAATCAATTGAATTAGTTTTGGACAAATTTGTGACCCAAAACATCATTAGTTTCAATTAAAAAAAAATTATTTCCCTTTAGAGGATTTTGGTGGATTTTTAATTTAAGTATAATATGAAAGTATAGAGGCGTATGCCACAAAAAAATTTTCTGTTGCAATTTGTTTAAGGTCATCCCCCAAATTTTGCTAAATTGACTGGACTATATAGAAAAAAAAAACATTTTAGTAAAAACCAATTTTCATATTTCACTTATTTAATTAAATATTTTACAAGAAAAAGACATTAATGATAATCTAAATACAAATCTTTGTGATAAACATAATGGCTTTAACACTTCAAATGCGAAAATTCCTTACTTATGCTGCAGTATATACCCTATCACCTGCATTATGGGTTTATGTCTTCTGCTTGATTCGATACGCACGACCATGCATGCTCTACGTACGATATATTTTTTTTCAAACTCTCTTAATAAGTAATCTTTTCGTAAGTTCTATGGTCGGTACGATGATTTTGTCAAAAAATACAATTTATCATTAAGTCAAAATTGTTTTCATGTATGTTTTTATACTAATTATTAGGCAATTTTTCATAAACTGAATTGTCGACGTATTATTCCGCTATTTCTCGCTCCTGACAAGGCGGGTGTGACGGTCGGCAAGGAATGGTCACTCCTAGATGGCACCTGACCTCTCCTCTGATTTGTTTCAACAACTTTTCAAGTTGATACTATTTGTTAGCTCCCAATATTTTATGCAAAGAAGAATTTTAAAACTTTGAATGAAAACCATTCCAGACAACATATCAAAATAACAATTATGACCATTGACTTCATATAATATTCATTTCAGCAAAATAAGGACACCAAAAGTTAGCTAAGCCAATGAATGATTTAAAGTTGTAATCACTCAGATTTCAGCAATATTACATTAAGAATGAGTAAAATTAGAAAAATGAAAGGGAAAAACGTACTGTAAAACTTTGGACTGATTATCAAGTAATTAGTTTATTTTTGATTTTTTTTAAATTTATATGTAGCAAAACTATTCTATTCCAATATTTCATTATTAATATAAAAAGATAAAAAAATATAAAAAGTGTTGATGGCCATATCATTTTGTGAGTAAAGAAAAGATTAATCAACCTATTTTCCAAGCAATACACAGGGGTCAGTAGCATGACTTGTGGTTCACTTATTTTATTATCTTAAAGTGAATGATATGTATTAAATTCATTGGTATACATTGTACATAAGAGTTTTATTTTCATTTTCTTTGGTGAAATCTTTTGTTATATCTGAGTAACAATTGTCCTAAGATCAATGCTTCAATATTTCACGCATTTAATGATGACACTATTTTGCTTTGCATGAAAAATTTGGACATTCAGGATATAAAACCATTATATTTACCATTATATAGACTCTGGATTACTTATAGTAGGTTAAAGATGAACCATATGGAGATAACGAACAATATTCAAGATCAAAAGTCCATAAAACAATACAAAACAGGAACAGAGCAAACACGGACCTCCAAAACATCAGAGGTGGGATCAGGTGCCATATGGAAGAGTGAGCATCCCCTGCCGCCGGTCACATCCGCCATGTGCTCCTAGTCATGATCGGGAAATAACGGGAAATCCGTCGTCGATTCAGTGGATTAACAATTAGTATAAAAAAAACCTCAGTCAGCATGTGACTCAATGATGAATTGAATTTGCTGACAAAGTCATTGTATCGATCACAGAACTTACGAAATGATGACTATAAACGAGACTGCTGATATTCTTGTTTCATCAACTTGTTTGTCAATAATTTACCTCGTTTCAGAAATTGTTCATACGAAGAGCATGCTCTTGCGTATCAAATCAACTGAGATATATAAACTCCGTATGCAGGTGATGAAGGTATATTGCTGTATAAATGAGGGAAGATAGAAAAGTTAAAGTCATCACTTTTATCATAGAGCTTGGTTGTTAGATTACCATTATTTTTTACAGGTAAATATCTAAATATGAAACAGATGCGTCAGACTCTATGGTATCTTTTATCTCAAGCTCACCAGGATATATCGTATGGACATAAGAATGGAATTTACAATTGTTGATTTACAATACGTCGTCGATATATCTAAATGTCGAGTAGAAGGCCATAGCAAGTGTTTTCTTCAAGATTTTGCACATATTCTGCTTCATATAAATACAAAAATATTTTAGTAAAATTTTAGCACGCCCTTGTAATCCTTGGATGCATTTTTTTTTTTTACAAAACCATGTTATATAGTAAGATGAAAACATAGGTAATCAGAGATTACAGAGCTCACCTACGAATGTTGTCTTTAAGTAAGACAAAGTCACACAATTACACAACAAAGAGTATACATCCAAAAATGCAAAATTTTTGAAATTTTGATACTTTGGAATAGACCCACATAAAAACTTAAAACTAATTTTCATCCCTTGATGCATCATTTGTGCAACTGGTTTATATAAGCCTTATAGTTTCTTGGTAATAGACCTGTACCCATAATTTTTACCTGGTCCATTATCTGGAAAATGTATGTTGAATTCAGCATCGGAAGCAAGTCCATTAGTGTACATCCTAAGATGTATCATTAATGCAGGTTTGCACAACATAGGGCTCATAGTTATTTGGAAATGAAACCTGCATAAAAATTTAACCTCTTCACTCATCAAGAAAATGTAGGTCAGATTCAGCATCCGAAGCAAGTACGTACGTCTGGTAGTATGCATACCAAGATGTATCATCCATGCAAGTTTGGTCATTAAAGAGCTCATAGTTACTTGGAAATGAATCCTGCACCAAAAAATTTAACCTGTTCACTCAAGCGGAAAATGTAGGCCAGATTCAGCATCCGAAGCAAGTCTGGTAGTATGCATCCTAAGATGTACCATCCTTGCAAGTTTGGTCATTATAGGGCTATTAGTAACTTGGAAATGAAACCTGCACCAAAAACTTTAAACTGTTCACTCATCCGGAAAATGTAGGTCACGATTCAGCATCCAAAGCAAGTCTGGTAGTATGCATCCTAAGATGTATCATCCATGCAAGTTTAGTCATTATAGAGCTTAGTTCCTTGGAAATGGAGCATAAAAAATTTAACCTGTTCACTCAAGCGGAAAATGTAGGCCAGATTCAGCATCCAAAGCAAGTCTGGTAGTATGCATCCTAAGATGTACCATCCTTGCAAGTTTGGTCATTATAGGGCTATTAGTAACTTGGAAATGAAACCTTTTTGTTCACTCATGCTGTATGGCAGAACAAAAAGCCTATTGCATCCTTAATGTATCATCCATGCAAGTTTGGTCAACATAGGGCTTATAGTTCCTTGGAAATGAGAAATGCACCAAATTCTTGAACCTGTTCACTCATGCGGAAAATGTAGGTCATATTCAGCACCCGAAGCAAGCCATTTAGTGTGCATCCTTAGATGTATCATCCATGCAAGTTTGGTCAACATAGGGCTTGTAGTTCCTTGGAAATGAGACCTACACCAAAAATGTTAACCTGCTCCAAAACATTAACCTGGTCATTCCTTTGCTGAAATTACAGCATCTGAAACTTTGACTGGTACAATGAAACACACTAGAAGGATCTTCCATGCATGTCTTATCAATATAGGACATAGAAGTACTTAAAAAGAAATCTGCTCCAAAAACTTAACCTTAACCTGGGACGCCGACGCTTAGGGTATTACATAAGCTCCCCCAACTTCGTTGAGGTGCGTTAAAAATGAAGACAAAGTTTTTATAATTTTATTTAAAATATTTTATTATAAAAATATCTTTAATATTATTGCACTTTCGTCATGTTAAAATTCATTAAAATCCACTTAATAGACAAGTTATTTTAATCATGAACTAACAACATAAAATTTTAATTTATAATTTAGGTCTATCATAGGTGAACACTTTAAAAAAATTTAATGTATACAAAATACAAAAAAAACCATTTTAACTGGGGTTTTTTATCCATGATAAGGACGGAAACACACACCTTTTCTTTCGGCCATCGCCGTCAGATATGTCTACACAAAGGATTCAATAATATTAATTATATAATAAAATTTCAATATCTGAGTAGATCTAGATGAAAGTTAACTGTGATGAGCTTTTCACTTCTTTTCTCTCCCACTGTCTGCACTTAGTTGTTAGTTTAATGCTTTCAATTTTCAATTCTATGTTCTATGTTCTATATTCTATGTTCTACAACTTCATATGGTTGTTTCAAATTCAGAAGAAGTGGGCGTCATTGTGGGTTTTCTGGTGAACCTTGTGGTTGACTACAGTGAGCGCTTTGTATGCTTCCCAATTTGTGCTGTCCTGTAATTTCCGCTGCAGGCTTTCCTCAGAAGGTATTGGTTGAAGCTGTAGACAAAAATAATCGTAAGTTCAAAATACTTACCATATTTTAAAAAAAAATTATGTGTGTTTTTTTAACTTCGCAATGCAAACACTGCCTATGTTATAAGACAGTCACAGTATTTTTGTATCCAAAACTGAAATATGCATGTTGCTTCTACACCTAGATACTCAATGTTTCCACAACTGTATTTGTATCTGAATGCTATATGTTAGTAGCTGTTGATACAATGGATAGTCAGTGTAGCAAAAAGGATTATATTCATGCTCTCTGTCTCTTACCGTTCTCCGTATTCTTTTTGCCTCTTCATCAGTTAAATATTGTTGGAAAAACTTCCTATTGATTAAGATGCATTCTGCTCCATCAGAAACCAGAATAGTGCTGGTAGTTTTCCCAATGCGACCAAAGGCAACTTGTTCAACACCCTTTTACATTATAAAAACAATCTCATATTTAAATTTCAAAGACTACTATAGTATTCAAACATATTGATTTTGCCTCTGGCCTATCTGTGCTTTATTTTGTTTATTTATCTTTAAAATTGAAACCAACTCTGTGTGAAACAGTTTTCAAGAGATTTTTCTCTATTTTTAATTAAAATTTGCAAATAAAGTTTTACATTGTTGAAACAGATTCTTGATTATACAGTCGTGTAATCTGACAAACTTACGAAAGTTTCTCTTGGTCCTAATTTCTGTATCTGTACGTAAACCGTGTCTGGTTTGTGACGTTTCGATGCACTTTCTGGCTCGGAAACCTTTGGGGATGTTCTCTATCAAACAAGTTTAAACCTTTATTAGTAGTTAAAAGTAGACTTTAATTGTTAGTTTCCATCATGTAACATTTCCAATGTAATGTTTTATTCTCCTACATAATATATTACAAGACTACACTAATGCTAAATAAATACTGGGATAGTTTAGATTTAAAATACATATAGGTTGTTAGGTCTGAGACTGTGAGAGAATTACCTGAAAAATATGAACATAATCAATTATAAGCATGTCGACTACTTAACAAAAGTGCAAAGATTATATCTAATTTTTTAATCGTTGTATTTTTTACTCTAAACTTGTGAATATACAGGCAACTGGTATTAGGCAGATACTAAATGAAGTGGCTTAGTCAAAAATAAAAACCGTTGTTTATATTGTGAAGCAGTAAATATTTAAATATGAAACAGATGCATCAGACTCTATGGTATCTTTTATCTCAAGCTCACCAGGATATATCGTATGGACATAAGAATGGAATTTACAATTGTTGATTTACAATACGTCGTCGATATATCTAAATGTCGAGTAGAAGGCCACAGCAAGTGTTTTCTTCAAGATTTTGCACATATTCTGCTTCATTTAAATACAAAAATATTTAAGTAAAATTTTAGCACGCCCTTGTAATCCTTGGATGCATTTTTTTTTTACAAAACCATGTTATATAGTAAGATGAAAACATAGGTAATCAGAGATTACAGAGCTCACCTAAACGAATGTTGTCTTTAAGTAAGGCAAAGTCACACAATTACACAACAAAGAGTATACATCCAAAAATGCAAAATTTTTGAAATTTTGATCTGATACTTTGGAATAGACCTATATTCAAACTAGTTCATCCCCTGATACATCATTTGTGCAAGTTTGGTTTATATAAGCCTTATAGTTTCTTGGTAATAGACCTGCACCCATAATTGTTACCTGGTCCATTATCTGGAAAATGTATGTTGAATTCAGCATCGGAAGCAAGTCCATTAGTGTACATCCTAAGATGTATCATCCATGCAGTTTTGCACAACATAGGGCTCATAGTTATTTGGAAATGAAACCTGCATAAAAATTTAACCTCTTCACTCATCCAGAAAATGTAGGTCAGATTCAGCATCCGAAGCAAGTACGTACGTCTGGTAGTATGCATCCTAAGATGTACCATCCTTGCAAGTTTGGCCATTATAGGGCTAATAGTAACTTGGAAATGAAACCTGCACCAAAAACTTTAAACTGTTCACTCATCCGGAAAATGTAGGTCAGATTTAGCATCCGAAGCAAGTCTGGTATTATGCATCCTTAGATGTATCATCCATGCAAGTTTGGTCAACATAGGGCTTATAGTTCCTAGGAAATGAGACCTGCACCAAAAACTTTAAACTGTTCACTCAACCGGAAAACGTAGGTCAGATTCAGTATCCGAAACAAGTCTGGTAGTGTGCATCCTTAGAGGTATCATCCATGCATGTTTGGTCAACATAGGGCTTATAGTTACTTAGAAATGAGAACTGCACCAAAAACATTACCTGTTCACTCATGCGGAAAATGTATGGCAGATTCAGCATCCGAAGCAAGCCTGGTAGTCTGCATCCTTAGATGTATCATCCATGCAAGTTTGGTCAACATAGGGCTTATAGTTCCTTGGAAATGAGAAATGCACCAAATTCTTGAACCTGTTCACTCATGCAAAATGTTTGCACCCGTGGTAGTGTGCATCCTTAGATGTATCATCCATGCAAGTTTGGTCAACATAGGGCTTGTAGTTCCTTGGAAATGAGACCTACACCAAAAATGTTAACCTGCTCCAAAAACATTAACCTGGTCATTCCTTTCCTGAAATTACAGCATCTGAAATTTTGACTGGTACAATGAAACACACTAGAAGCATCTTTCATGCATGTCTTATCAATATAGGACATAGAAGTACTTCAAAAGAAATCTGCTCCAAAAAAACTTAACGTTAACCTGGGACGCCGACGCTGAGGGTATTACATAAGCTCCTCCACCTTCGTTGAGGTGTGTTAAAAATGAAGACAAAGTTTTTATAATTTTATTTAAAATATTTTATTATAAAAATATCTTTAATATTATTGCACTTTCGTCATGTTAAAATTCATTAAAATCCACTTAATAGACAAGTTATTTTAATCATGAACTAACAACATAAAATTTTAATTTATAATTTAGGTCTATCATAGGTGAACACTTTAAAAAAATTTAATGTATACAAAAAACAAAAAAAAACATTTTAACTGGGTTTTTTAATCCATGATAAGGACGGAAACACACACCTTTTCTTTTGGCCATCGCCGTCAGATATGTCTACACAAAGGATTCAATAATATTACACTGTAATTATATAATAAAATTTCAATATCTGAGTAGATCTAGATGAAAGTTAACTGTGATGAGCTTTTCACTTCTTTTTTCTCCCACTGTCTGCACTTAGTTGTTAGTTTAATGCTTTCAATTTTCAATTCTGCAACTTCATATGATTGTTTTAAATTCAGAAGAAGTGGGCGTCATTGTGGGTTTTCTGGTGAACCTTGTGGTTGACTACAGTGAGTGCTTTGTATGCTTCCCAATTCGTGCTGTCCTGTAATTTCCGCTGCAAGCTTTCCTCAGAAGGTATTGGTTGAAGCTGTAGACAAAAATAATTGTAATTTAAAAATACTTTACCATATGTAAAAAAAAATTATGTATTTTTTTAACTTCGCAGTGCAAACACTGCCTATATTATAAGACAGTCACAGTACTTTTGTATCCAAAACTCAAATATGCATGTTGCTTCTACACCTAGATACTCAATGTTTCCACAACTGTATTTGTATCTGAATGCTATATGTTAGTAGCTGTTTATACAATGGATAGTCAGTGTAGCAAAAAGAATTATATTCATGCTCTCTGTCTCTTACCGTTCTCCGTATTCTTTTTGCCTCTTCATCAGTTAAATATTGTTGGAAAAACTTCCTATTGATTAAGATGCATTCTGCTCCATCAGAAACCAGAATAGTGCTGGTAGTTTTCCCAATGCGACCAAAGGCAACTTGTTCAACACCCTTTTACATTATAAAAACAATCTCATATTTAAATTTCAAAGACTACTATAGTATTCAAACATATTGATTTTGCCTCTGGCCTATCTGTGCTTTATTTTGTTTATTTATCTTTAAAATTGAAACCAACTCTGTGTGAAACAGTTTTCAAGAGATTTTTCTCTATTTTTAATTAAAATTTGCAAATAAAGTTTTACATTGTTGAAACAGATTCTTGATTATACAGTCGTGTAATTTGACAAACTTACGAAAGTTTCTCTTGGTCCTAATTTCTGTATTTGTACGTAAACCGTGTCTGGTTTGTGACGTTTAGATGCACTTTCTGGCTCGGAAACCTTTGGGGATGTTCTCTATGAAACAAGTTTAAACCTTTATTAGTAGTTAAGAGTAGACTTTAATTGTTAGTTTCCATCATTTAACATTTCTAATGAAATGTTTTATTTTCCTACATAATATATTACAAGACTACACTAATGCTTAAATACTAAATACTGGGATAGTTCAGATTTAAAATACATATAGGTTGTTAGGTCTGAGACAGTGAGAGAAAAACCTGAAAAATATGAACATAATCAATTATAAGCATGTCGACTACTTAACAAAAGTGCAAAGATTATATCTAATTTTTTTAATCGTTGTATTTTTACTCTAAACTTGTGAATAAACAGGCAACTGGTATTGGGCAGATACTAAATGAAGTGGCTTAGTCAAAAATAAAAACTGTTGTTTACATTGTGAAGCATATGCAAGGGAGTATTAACAAACGAACTTAATATCTACATACTAGTACTTTTATTACATTGAAATACTTAAGGAATTGTATTTTATGATCTTTTTTTCACACAAAACATCTACTGATACAATGCATATTATTTCTAATCGTGAATTATAGATTCATCTTTCTATCCTATGAGCGCATAAAAAAGATATTTAAAGAACTTCAAATTGCTAAATCATGATTTTCTTATTACGTAAATTCTAAGACCTATCACCACTTAAGAATTAAGACTTCAATTACGTATTAAGCTAGTTGACACCTTGAACAGACTTCATTGAAACAGTAATTCAGTTGTTAACCTTTTCTCCTAATATAATCCACAGCGATTATGTTTTATTCTATAAATGGGAAAATTAAGAAGATCAATTTTAATACATTTAGCAACCCTTTTCATTTTCTTCTCTACAGAGTTAAGTCATGTCTATTTATAAAAGAGCCAACCTAATATTCTAATAGTTTACTCTAAGCCAATTTCACGACCTTATTTTTTATAGTTCAGTTTACCTTTCCCCATTTAGACGTATAGGTATGTTTCTGAATAAAGATTTGGTCCAACAGTTTCTGATGTTCTTCATGTTCTGTTGAATCTAAAATCAACATAAAATTCAGCCCATTATCGAGATACTGCAAAAATTGATTTCATTGAAAATGATATCTCTGGAACTTTGATATTTTTATACTTTAAAAGTGGTTTTTTTGCATGGGGAAATTTGTAAACTTTAATATACACTGTAAGTTTTGGAGTCGTGTTAAGTTCACACAGGCGTATAGTCACAAAAAAAATCAAATTCTGAATTACATGTCATTATGAAATACATGTACATGCCTGCGTATATTACAGCTACGAGATACATATTAAGTTTTATTTGTTTAAAAAAACGTACTAAATGACAGAATAGATATTCACTTTTACAGATGTAATGAATCATTCTTATCATTTAATTTTGATATTTTACATGGTCGTCATACCCTCAGGATAAGGTTTGTGAAGAATGTCAGAGAGATGCTGTATTGTACATTTATGTTTCTGGGGGCGTGGTGTGCCATACGATGAGTCCGAGCGTGGAGATTTGTCAGATGATAAGGAAGATGACGATAACGATGTCTTGGAAGACTTTGGTGAGGATATTGGAGGGAGACCTGAAAGAAGACCGGTGATACAGAACTCTAAATACTCGTTAAGTCGAGGAAACTTACAATGCAAGGCTTTGTTCTCATTTCCATATGTCGAGAAAAAAAACAAATCCGAGAGAAATTCTTTTAAATGAACAAGACTTGAAACCTCAAAAGAAAGAATATGATTTGCTAAACAAAAGCTGAAAATACCTGTATTCTTAAACAATTCTAGAACAGTTCTAAGAAATCTTCTAATTAGAAATGTTCAGGATTTTAAATAGATTAACTTTTTTAGATTGCCAGTTAGTATATCTTTAGACCTTCGCAAAACTTTTAATTTATCACTGTAAAAAGATTGCTATCAAGTATTCAAAAATAATTTATAATAAATTTAATAAATAAACGTTATCAAGCAATGTGTAAATAAAGATTATCTAAATTAACACATATCCTCTGCACCATAAAATATTACATAGCTGATCTTAAGGTAGTCCGATCCTCAGGTTTATATAATTAGCAGTTAAGTAATCAAAAATACTCATAAAAGTATCTCTGAATCCACAAAGTTATGTAATTTTATCCACAGTATTTCTTTAAAATCAAAGATTAAAGTTAATTATATTATATAGGAAAAATTGTCAAATCTCCAATATTTTTTGCAGAAAAAGCGAATTGGAATATAAGCGATGTATTTTCTTATTGTAAATTGATCAACAAATATATTTTAGGTTAAAAAACAATAGGTATCCAGGCATTTAGAGAAACTGCTATGATTTTTATACTTATTTGGTATTTTTCGTATTCTATTTCCGTCATGTATTCTATAATACTTAGTGTAAAAGGCTTTTGCTATCATTGCAAGACACAACAAATCACTTATTTCATATCATGCTAATGAGCATTGGTATTTAAGGCTGGATTCAAGAAAATCATATTTCTAAAAAACTGCATTAATTTTTTTCCTTTTATAGGGTACAAATGTCAACTTTTATAAGACCTTTTCTAAAATTCAAAAAAGCCTTGAATCTTATAAAGATGAATAAAATGAACATTGTTGCATGAAAAAAAATTAATTTTCAAGCTTCATTTTGATGCATTTCAAATTAAATATGAATTTTTGGAGTTATCCTTCCTAGCTGAGGATCGGATATCCTTAAGACGAACAGGATATTTAACCTTTGATGTGCAAATATCAATATATATTGATTTAATAAAAAAAAAGTGTATACTTTTTGATTATAGCGATACCTTTCATTTCACAAAGAAAGGTTCTGATTTTATAAATTTAATAGCAGTATTGTAATCAATATCCTAATGATTTTAGGTCCATAAACATTCATATTAATTATTAAAGATCTATGTGATTTAGCAAGGAAATGCACAATAACTTTCTCCTGTTCTTTTATTTCATATTCCAGGCTTCAAATTCCAACGCCTAGTAATGTCATATAGAAAAAAAATAAATGATTTTATCTGTTTGAGGTAAAAATAATGATTAAAAAACGTACAAAATCAATTAAATAAAAACTCTCTCAAAGATTTGCATTAAAGAAATCAACGCCGTCTTGTAACATCCCAAATATATAAATGAAAAAATCATGGTTTCAATTATCTATTATGGTCTCACTCTCAAAGAAGTTAATAAATTTAAACGTTAACAAGCGATTCAAACGCCCGCCACTTTCATGTTTATCAAATCAAATATTCGAAAATTTATTTCCATCAGAATCAATCAGATGAACATTATTTTTTTTTAATTCCATACTGTAATGAAACACAAATCATTATTTTCTGAAATACTTACGTAGCAGTGACCTTGTTAACTTTTGGCTAGACAATAATCCTGGTATATTTGGTTTGGCTGAATGTAGGGATTTTAGGACCCTACACGACCCTGTTTTGATGATGTAGACCCAGTCACTAATGTTACTGTCCTTACACAACAAAAGTCCTCTCCTGTTAAAAAATTACAATAAAAAATATATAACCAAACTTTCAAATGCTATCAAATTCATTATTAAAATTGCATTCTGGCTATTTTTTTTTTCAACAAATCAGACATCAACCTGATCAAAATCTAGCAATCTTGAAATACCTGAATAAAATTACCTAAAGTAAGTAAAACAACAAATCTTGGTGTCGTGATATGGCAATTTTTCTATTGGCCATCCTTTCAGGAGGTGGACCGTCCGCAGGAAGCGGATGTGCTCAGGCTCCTGATCTTTATCCATGGGCATGAATATATCCACAAAGTCCTCTCTTCCTACCGCTAGAAGCTCCACACTATTCTTACAGGTGACCGTGGCGCTCCTCTTCGCGCCGTGCATAAGCGCCAACTCCTACAGTAAAAAGTTCTGTTTTCAATCAATTTTGAAGTTATGCTGCAAAAAAGATTTCCATCCCAATCGATAAGACTTGAGAGCAAAAATCTTTACACTCTTCCAGGGTAACTGGTTAAAATCTTAGTAACAATGCAAATCAAACTCTGCATGTGGCAGTTTGCTTTCAATTGATATCGATAGGAATATAACATATATTATGCTGCGATATGTCCTTATAAAAAGCCTACTGAATGATAGATAGCGCGCTAATACAGCTCATCAATACTTCTGACGAAAACTTCTTATAATGGTAATTAAAACTGTCAAAATAAAGAGTTTTCGTATTGTAAATAACGTCAAAACATGTCGGTAAATTTTCCAATCTAACGCAACGAAATAAATCTATGGTATTGAATTCCTAATTTACTCTCAATAGTTCCTCTACAACTTATTTTAAATGTTTTGAAACATGACAGATGCGTTATTGAACTTTAATTCACCTCCCTTATAAATCTGGCTTTAACGTGTCTTTGATGGTTAGGTCCTGGACTACTTTGTTTTACTTCTTTGATCGTAAAGTGACATTTTTAAACTTTAAATATCACCATTTCATGTATTTGAAGACCTGGGTGTTTAGAACTAAATATACACCTCTGTGATAGATCATATACCTAAGTTGAAGTAACCATTTGATTTATTTTGAGCGACAGGATTTTTCCAAAGTCAAACATTCCATCCATTTTGGTTTTAAATGAGTAATATAACATGATGAAACTCCTAGATATCTTAATATGAAAAGTAAAATATTGTCTTCCCACAAATTTTTATTTAAATAGAAAAGTTGGTGTTATGACTACGTTATATATTATTTCTTTATTCTTTGGATATTTTCAGCCACCGTAGATAAGTCAAATATTGCCCATGAGTAGAGCGAATCCAAATACGGATTAAAGAATTTACGAAGCGAGTTATTTCCGAAATTAAAACATATCAGACAAGTTCCCGTATAGCCTCAGAAACTGACGTGACAATATGATTCAAAGAGATATTCCTATCATATACAACTACGGTATAACACAAGGAATCGATTTCGAATGGTTAAAAATACACCTAAGATATGAAAATTATGGTCTGCTCGTGACATTCTGTTTTTCACGTAAAACTCACCCCAAAACTGTTTCCCTTTTTGAGGACTGCTGCTGTTCTAACAACCTGATCGCCGGTCTCGGGATCTGTCTGTAGGATGGTAACGACAGCTAAAATTCAAACAGGTTTCATGTTTCACCATGTTCAATGTTCAAAATATACGTATATGTACTAAGTAGTCATTAAACTACATAAAGAGTACATTTTTTATGTCTTTCTTGGCAGAAAAAAATTGTCACTTCTAATAAATCCATCTAAGACTCGTGATCTCTCAGTAGAATTTATGAAAACTTAAGATTTAGTTTTATAAAAGACGCATCGTTTAAGTAAGATATGACCGCTAAAACTAAAAAAAAAAAACAAATTATTTAATGTATATAAAATAATAAAAAAAATATATATATATAAAATTATATTTAATGGGTGAGTCTTACTCGAACTGTTTGAGATGTGTAGTTTAAAACTAAATAAACTTGGAGTAACTAGAAAGTGCTTTTAAAGTGAACCATTATATGACAGTAAAAAATTGGGAGTCGAATCAACAGTCATTTCAAGTATATATAATCTAATTTTATTATTAGCCAAAACCTTACAGACAAAATTATAACGGTAATAAATCCACTTTGAAAATAAATGGCAACAACTGATTATTGTAAATTTGACTAGATCTCTCAACGATTTTTCAATGATCTTGCAACAGAAGCAAAGCCCTCTTCATGGTCTCTCAATGATCTTTCAAATGTCTCAAGATACCATGGTTTACTAAAAATGTTGATTCTACTTATGATCGCAAGACTAAGCAATCTCTTTAAAAAGTCCAATGAGCACCTAAAGTGCACAGACAGTTCTCTTAGAGCTCCAAAGAACTGTTCTGGGTCTTTCAATGAATGCTTAAAACGCTCTACGTTTTAACGCTTCTTTACTGAAATTGTATGAAAGGTCTATGGAAGATCAACTTCTGCTTGAGAGATCATTGAAAGATCTTGGATATTGGTGTAAGATCAGTTGGCGAATGCTGCAGATTGGTAGCAATGTTCTCGCATTCACTCACAATACCTTAAGAATGTTCTGTCTCAGTCACTTACAATATATATTTTATTAACGTTTACAAGAATGTTCTGTCTCAGTCACTTACAATATATATTTTATTAACGTTTACAAAAATGGGCTCGTTGAGTCTTTTAAATACATATACTGTATGAGAGATCAGACAAGTTTAAATTGAGGTGCCCAAATGATCACCATAAAGCGTCTTCATTTACAATGTTAGGTTAGTAAATTTATGTTTTTTCAAAGTCTGAGTTCAGTTTACAACTATAATAATTGAAATGGAAGGAAGCAATAGATGTAAAGTTCAATGTGTAAAACTAAATATTTGTAATACCTGTTCCAGACAAAATGAAGTAGAAATTGTCAGCCATGTGACCTTGTCTTATTATCACCCGTTTGTCTTCAAAACTAGAAGAAAGGTAGAGTTTTACGTTAAAGCAAGAAGGATTTTCTTTACACTGTATTTGATGTGGGTTGTCTTGTGCAATGCAAAAATCAATTCTAATCACAATAGTGTCAAAGAATCGCTTTTTAAACTGCAAATATGATTGAAGATTGAAATATTTTATTTACTTTACAGTAAAATGAGAATATATATTAAAATATCAAAATTAATATTAGTGTTTCCGTTTAAAATATGATGAATTTCTCACATCAATTGCAGTATGCAAACCTTTCTTGACAGATGACAAAAGATTTAAATGGGTGAGAGTTTCTCAATATTGCATCAAAGAAAACGATAGAAATGAATCGTTTACTCACTGTTCATACCAGCCGACTCGTACCAGAGATTTCTGCATGGTGATCGGAAACTCACTGAATGCTTCTACCGCCTGATTCAGCGCCAGTAGCGCCACCTTCATCTGTTCTTCCGTCCTGCGTTCGGGTTCCATAGACAAAATAGCTTTGGCTTCATTACTAAGAATAGTCTGAAACAATGATGTTCCAGGGTGAAAAATTCTCGATACTATACAACAAACAAAAATAGACCATAAGGCATTTTACTTGCTGGGCATTTTTTTCATTATATAAATGATCTAACCCCGAGTGCTAATTAAGTAAAATACATAGAGCATACTGTTGTTTTATGTTCTATTATCTCACCTCCTTCTTGGCTCTGAAGTCCCCTGGATCAAAAGTAAGACCAAACATTTCATATTCCCTCTTGGAGGAGCTGACGTCCTGGTGAGCCCAGGACAGGAGATCATGGCGCTGTCCCTGAGAATTGGTGAGTGTAGCCTTGAGGAGCACTTGTATGGTTTTTACTGCACGTCTGAATCTGACCAAAGGCTGCAAAACAAAATACTCGTTAAACAATCTCCAAAGACTGCTGATAAACACTTAATATTCTGATGAAAAATGAATAATGATGACGCAGGATATATAAACTCTATAATATGTATGTATTGTGATTCCTTTGCCGTCCTTTCGTACCTCCACAACGTTTCGTGGAATTTGTTCTGTTTTTGGAATTTCTATAACCTCTATAACGACCTTTTCTAGCAATTTTTCTTTTTTCCGTGCAAATCGACGTTTTCGTAAAGCATCTTTCACAAGCTGCTTTTCTTTCGCTCTTTCATAAAGCCACAGTAAATTGATTGGAATATGAAATAATCGTATCGGTGTTAGTTTCGGTGTCTGAAGAATTGGAGAATCTATATAGTCCTTTTTCCTGTATCTTCTTTTGACAGCAGAGTGATTTTCTTCCGATTCCTTGAGAATTCTGGGATCCATGGGCCCTCCTGGATCTAGTAAAATGTATGTTTTGTAGTAGTTGGTGAATTTTTCTTTTATTTTGAGGGGAGGGAATGGATAATCCCCGGGGGATGATAACATGCGCTCCATAAAAACAAATAATAATCCTGCCTTTCAACATTTAAGCATTACGGCGTGCAAAAGTCTCACTTGAGGAACTCACATACGTAAAGAAACCAGATGCTCTTAAGCCCTTTGTCCCTGCATACAAAACACCGAGGAACGGCCCAACTTCATTATTAAACTCTCTTTTTGTGGCATAAATTGAAGGCTGACAGGTGGGGTATAGACGATTTGCTTGTACGTGAGAAAAATTTAATTTTCATTTTCTGTCGATTTCATGTCGATCCTTGCTAGAGTTGTGAATGCACATCATTAATCAAAGTGCCAGAGTAAGTTCCAATAAATATTCCAATATCAAATTGTCAGTTCCAAGACTTTTTTTAAAAAATTAGACAAATAATATTTTCGTTTCATTTTTGTATTCAATAAATGTCTTAAAAGATATTTACCTTTAATTTCTATGTCTATAATTACTAGAAGAGAATTTCTATGTTGTGCATTGACGAGGTTTTTATCATCCGTGCTCTACTCGCTATTGGAGTCCCGGTAAAGATAACTAATTATAGATCAATCCTCAAATGAATCGAGTTATTATAAAACCCGATTGTGAGTTTCCCCATATTTCTTATTTGGGGTTAAAAGGATGGGGTTTTTTTTAAAAGGAACCAAGGATTGCAACTTGGTAAATATTTGTATGGAATAATATGCTTCAAGTTGGTCAAATTTTGTATAATTTACAACTTCAAAGTCATGTGGTCTCTAGCCATGTAGACCCTACTGGAAAATTTAAATTAGGACACTTGTTCACATTGTCAGTTAGCCAGTTTCAGGTATGATTAAAGAAAAACAACACAAGTTAATATGCAGATGTTGTTTATTTTCAATTTTGTCAGTCACACAGATTAAATTGGATACGTGCACTGATATTTATAATGTAATTTTAGAATTATCATAACTTGTTTACAGATAAAAGTATTCAAACGAAATATTTTCTGTTAGAATACAATGAATGTCTGTTGTGCCTCACTACAATTAGAAAATGTAAACCTTGCTGTTTACCTCACCGTGAAACATAACAAAGCTGTTCTGGATGATAATACCATTAAAGGTCATGTTAATCTCTTTAACTTAGGGAAGAATATTTCTGGATCAATTTCAAATTATAAATTTGACAGCAAATTTAAACTCCATTCTATCCCATTATGTAGATATTTTCCATCAAATTAAATTCTTTCACCTGTGCTCGTATAACCCTCCTATATCGTTAATTCATAAACATGTTCAACAAAATTGAAAAATGATAGGTATTGTGGAAAATGTAGGCATACGAATTCATAAAATACCATTTACAACATAGAATGATTGCTTTTAATTTGTCATCTTACAGTTAATTAATCGTTATTTGTCCGTTATTCTTACGGTTAACTAATTGTTATTTGTCCGTTATAAGAAATCTTCAAGCCGTTGAAGCAGAGAATCTTGAATAGAATTTCCTATCTTTTGTTTTAACCAATAAGTTGTCTCAGTTTTTTTTTTTTTATTTTTTAGCATAATGGCCGAACCTTTCGTATTGAATTAGACATTTTAAAATGCGTTATTCAATTGCTGAATCACTAACACATCGTCGCCCACATATTACGGTGATTCTCTAGAGCGTTTTCTCTAGAATCGCGGAGTAAGGAGTTTATCCTTAGGTTGCGGCTTTAACTCCAACTGTGGGACATGGAGACCGGTCTTTCGAATAAGACTATATATATAAACCGAGGTCCCGTGTCTCAGTGCTGCTGGCATGAAAAAGATTCCTCACTGCTCAAAGGCCGTAAGTGTCGAGTATGGGTCTACATTTACAGCCCTCCACCAACAAGTCGTGGCGTCTCAATATGAATGAAAATTTCTTGAAGGGACTTTAGAATCTAAATAAACTAATTAACATCTGATTTTGCCTTGTTATATAATACTCTTCTTCTTCATTTCACAAATACACGAAAACATACGTATAAACATATAAAAGAACAAAAACAAATCCTTTCAAGTGCTTCATCTTTTCATCCACTCTCCTTAGTCAAAATACAAAATTACTAATTTGTCACTTAAGGGACTATTATAACCAGCAATAAAACTCTTGACTTACCGTAAAGTGTAGCACACAGCAGGGCATGGTGGCTGGGTGTGGGGAATGGGGAGCTATGGAGGGAGTCATTTGTCTTGTTTCTGTTTGGACTGATCACATCATAGCACTGTTATCAGCTGGGGTCAGTCCAAACAAAGGCTTTCTATCAGATCAACACCTTTCAATTTCGACATTGTTCCAGATGACAACGCTATTGTGATTGAAAGCGCAAATATGATAAATTTCAACGTGGAAGCCACATGACAAGATGAAATCTTACTGACAAAATTAAAATAGATAACAGCAAATCATGTACAGGTAATCCTTGCTGGCAAAGGATCAGACTAATGCTTTGAAGCCGGGGGAGAGACGACTTCATTTATCTTATCTTAGGTTCTTTTCACTTTCTGTAGGATGTGGAAAGAAGCAATAAATTGACCTTTCCCAAAGCGGTCATTCACACACTAAGATACAGCTAACAAAATAGCATACCTCTAGACTACATTCTTCGAAATCTTTGTTGTTTGTGAGAAAAGATTTTTGCAAAATCCTAAGAAAGATTTAGGAAATGACTCACGCTAACGGTAAATTTGGAAATCTTCTCTTCGACGCCTACTGGACTCTTCAGATTGGCAGACAGGAACACGTTACATATCAGAACACGACTGCAGATTCTCTCCCATCGTCTTCCTCTGGACCTAGTGCTTCGCAACAAGCTCCGTATTGGCCTAGGGGCAACATCGAAAGCAGTGGAATTGTCAAGTTGTTTTTCTTCAGTTTTTCTTCTAGGACGAAATCGTCCCGACTTTTCTTTCCGAACAGAAATCTTTGGTAACTCCATATCCAGCTCCGTGTATCTTCAGTTATTTGAATGGTATGACAACCCTTTCTTCTTTTTATGGAGGTTTTTCTACAAAGGTTTCATTGTGGCTGCTTCATTGTCATTGAACTTTTTTTATTGGAAGTTTGTTGGAGAATCTGGTCCTTGAATCTCGATAGTGTATTTAACACTAAATTATTAGCAGGCTTTAATTGTGATCTTCAGTAGTGGCAATAAATTTGCTTTCTGTGTTCCGTGCATAACACTTTCATGCAATGTAAACATACCCGTCCTCCAGCCCCATAATAAAGGCAGAAATATCCCCATTAAACTATTTAACTTTGTTCATTAGGGTGCCGTAAATCTTCAGACAGATTCTACAAGTGAGCTTAATATAATGGGTTGTCATTTTCTAATAAAACACAATACGGTACAGATATATTTTCTTTTGCGAGCAAATTTGTTTGAAATTGCTATAGTGGGGATGGTCTAGATTTAAGCCTGATAAATTGATCACAAAATACAGTATCCGATCGAGATTTATTAAATTGCTTACAGAAATAAATTATGTTCTATAAAATTCACTTTGTTTAATAGACGTCATAAAGACAACAAAAGTACAGGTACCTTGCATAAAAGTACAGCGAGATTTACAACACAGGAAACCGGTCTTATCTCATTAAGGAAATGTTTCCTTCAAAAATAACTACTAGAAATGAATAGAATCAACTTTAAATCAATTGATGAAAATCGGTGCTTTACATTGAAACAAATAGATTGGTAATTTTAAATAAAATCAAGATAACATTTTCTTTCAAATTAAAAAAAAAATTATAAGCAAGAAAAAATACTTTACAAACCACTATCAAGCATTCGGTAATTTTTACGTTTGACTAAAATATTTAACAGTGATTATATACGTACCTCATTTCAATTCTAATAAACTTGATTAGTTTGTATTATTTAATTATTGAATCATATAAGAAAACAATTATTGATGTGGTTTTTTCTTTAGTGAAAACGATGATTTACCCACTTCGAAGTACAATATTAAACAGGTCGGAGAGAATACTCGAAATCGGGTATTATCCGTGAAATCGCGTATAATACTCGATATTAGGGTATCGTTGAATCCGCGAAATCGGGTATAGGAGGTGTAATCACCTAATAAAACTTAAACAATGGGATGGCGCATGTTGCCGAGTTAACTTTCATCTAGATACACATGTTTTCTAAAGGTATCACTAGTCAACGTCAAGATTAATGCGCTCGGGACAACAAATACCCGTGGAGCTCAGTACATTTCATGATCTGCACACAAAAAGGTGTTCGATATGCTTTATATTTTTCCTTATGTTGAAAGTAGATGCATCTTCCTAATGTTCATTCCCAACACAACAGAATTGTAAAGTATCAGAATTCGGGAATTTATAATAATTCCACATCAACACGACAAACATGAACAATTTGTAAATAAATCAAATTATACGGAAACACATTTCACACACAAGATATGATGCCATGTATAAACGAGGGATTTTC